CACAGGCATTACACTGTGCCTTGTCTTTTTTAGTGTAGTGGAGCCTAACTTTAGACGATTACCGTGATCCATCTTTGGTGTTATAAAGTGACTGAGCTCGTGAACTGTCTACGGGAGGGCGGGGGGAGCCTCGCTGCTGGGCAACTGTGGACCTCTGTCGCCTGTCAGCACAACTTACATGATGCCGTTTAAAAAAATTAAGGGCAGTGCCGGCCGTCAACGGCCCGCTGACGACCGGCCGTTCTGTAATTCTCCAGAACACACAGATGTCCAGTCCGCCCTTACCCTGTATTCCACCGGCGCAGACGAACCCGATGGAATACAGGGTCTACCGCGTTTAGGAACTGTTAAGCAGAACCAAAATTGTGTATTTTGTATGGGTACCAGGCATTTTCTTATCGGTTCTCATCTGGAACCGAGTTTCGGTTCCCAACCCTATTGAAGATCCTCCAGAAACATGTTTGGAGAGATACAAAAAAAAGTCACACCCATCTCTGCCCGCCTCAATGTTATCTAATCAGATGGGTACACTTGTGGCTAACAGTGTTCGCTGTCCTTAAAACCCTTTATCAAATTATAACAGTATGTAACGTTAAATTGCAATATCAGTACATATCGGGATCTATATCATTTTCTGGAAAAGCAATAAACTCTTTGAATACATTAACTGGACACTAGGATTCTCTGTTTTTCGGCTAATCAGGCCAATTTGATATCTGACATTGGCTGCCATACAGTGGCTTACATTTTATAGCTCAAAATTAATCCAAGGGGTCAAAATAGGATTATAGGAAATTAAATAAATAAAAACATTCTTGTATTAAAGTTGATGGTAATCATCAACTTTTTTGAGTTGATGATTACCAACTCAAAGAAGTTGGTAATCCTCATTATTACCGGAGATATTAAAGGGACAGCTATTACTTTATGTCTGGGTAATATCATATTGTTTACATGGTATACCAGCCTTTTACTAACTGTGTCTTCTCTCCCCCTCAGGGTCTGAGCGGCCCCCAGTGGCAGCTGCTGGCCTCTCGTCCACTGAGTGTGTCTGCTGCTCTCTGCGGCCCCGAGGCCCCCCCAGCACGTGCTGATGCCACCTTTAAGGTCACCATGGTGCCAGGGGATGGAGTGGGACCTGAGCTGATGACGGCTGTCAAGGACGTGTTTAAGGTACAATGAAATGTATTGTATTTGTTACTAACAAGTAGCAGATTGTTTTTGCAAACATCAGAATCAAAATACTTTAATTATGCCAGGGAACATTTTTTTTTATTTTTTGACAGCTGCCATAAAATCAGAATACAAATATTTATATAAGGAATTAAAGTAAGAATTTGCAATTAAAAGGTTAAAAAATCTAATAAAAATGTAAACATAAGTAAGATGTCCAATAAAATAAACATGTTTATCTGTACATAATAAGCTAAACTAAAAATGTATATATTGTACTACGATTTATATTATGTTTATTTGTCTGTCTGTCTGTCTGTCTGTCTGTCTGTCTGTCTGTCTGTCTGTCTGTCTGTCTGTCTGTCTGTCCGTCCGTCCGTCCGTCCATCCATCCATCTATCTATTTATTAAGAGCCCTAATTGCACGGTTTCATCCCACTCTGCTCAGTTTAGGCTCATTCTCCCTTTATGAGTTTGATGGAAATGATGTTGAAGTGGATTTTCTTTTCTGACTTGTTTCCAGGCAGGAGATGTCCCGGTGGAGTTTGAGGAGTTTCACCTGAGTGAGGTGCAGAACATGGCCAGCGAGGAGAAGCTGGAGCAGGTTTTAACTTCCATGAAGACCAACAAAGTGGCCATGAAAGGTAGCTATGCTTTTCTGTCTTCTGTCATAGTTCAGCTACAAAATATCAGTTGATTTTAAAGAGAATGAAATCAACCTAACACACATTCTTGCTCCAGGAAAGATCCACACACCCATGGAGTTCAAAGGGGAGCTGGCTTCATATGAGATGAGACTGAGGTAAAACTAGGAATCAAATTAGGCATTTATGTGTTTCCTTCCTGATTTTATTTGTTTTAAATATCTCTCCCTCCCTCTCCGTTCCCCAGGCGTAAACTGGACTTGTTTGCTAACGTGGTGCATGTGAACAGCCTGCCGGGCTACAGCACCCGCCACAACAACCTGGACCTGGTCATCATCCGCGAACAGACCGAGGGCGAGTACAGCTCCTTGGAGCACGAGGTAAACAACACTCCTCCTCCCTGCTGTCAGTTCAGGAAAGACAGTGGTTTCAATGAAAAATACAAGTTTTTTTTTTTGTCTTTGGTTAGGGAGTTTTCCCTTGAGCACAGAGAGACTTGGTCAGCATTAAACAAGTATAACAACAGATATGACTCACTGTCAGAGGTGCAGAAATGGCAGTGTCTTTGATTCAAGTTATTCCTAACTATAAGCATAGTTAGTGTTCATGTCATTTTAGATAATGACTTTTATCTGTCCTACAGACTCAGTTTCAAGAGTTTGTTAGTAGTATGACCACTTACACCTTGTTTTCCCTGTCCACTTAATGGACCTTAAGCTTAAAGATTTATTTGCATTAAAACAAAACATTACATGTACATTAAGACCAAAATGAATCTGTTGTGCAAATGAAAAGAGATGGACAAGTGAAAAATGCATGTGAAAGGCGCGTTCACACCGAAGTATTGTTCCTACTTTAGTTCCGATATAGTTCCGAAATGTCGCGTTCACACCAAAAAGAGCCGGAACAAAAATTAGTTCATCAGAACCTTTTTTACCCCCTTTTTTAGCTAGAGAGCAGGTACTTTGTGGGAGAAAAAGGTTCCTATGTCTGATTGGCTGAGCGGAATGCAAACCACGCCCCGTAAAACTCCCAAAAAGTTTTGTGAAGCCGCCATTTTATTATCCTAGCATTAGCCCAGCGCAGAAACGCAGAGAGACTAACTTATGGCAACACAAAAGAAAACATGGGAGCGGTGGAGATGAGGAGGTGTTGGCGTTCTGGCGATTTACTCGGAAGGCTTCAGTAGAAGCTGCTGGGAGTCCCAGCAGC